CTCTGTTCGCTCACGGCTCCCTGTGGGCAGGCGACCCACTCTCTCTGGGTCTTTAGTTTCCTCTGCTACAAACGTGGGTCATACAGTGTCATTCTTAAAGACTTGTGAAAAATAAATGAAGGCGCATAGGCAATGCTTTTAACAGGTGGGCACAAGTGTTTAGGCATAGTCCTGAGACCTTCCGGAACCTCATCACAGAGTCACAAAATGCTGCAAGTCTTGCTTATTTATTTGTTCTCTTCTTTAAAGAATGCTTTGTCATGGGAACCAGCAGTTAACGTAATGGCTATGTCGCTAGACTCCCACGTAGTCAACTGTGGTTCGCGTCCCGACCCGGTGGCTTAAAACTCACACCAGGCACGTGTGCGTGTGTGCCCAAGATCCCGAGAGGAGAATGGAGGAGAAGGGATTGCAGCGTGACCATCCTCCCTGGGGGGTGATTTCTTGCTTTCTGTCTCTATGCCTCTCTCTGTCTGTCTGGCGTGTGCACACGCCCTATAGCGAAAAACCTCTCAAAAAAAAAAAAAGAATTCTTTGTCATTAGAATTTGGCAGGGGACAGAGGTGGCAAGAGGAGAACTAGCTGCCATGGGTACCGTGCGGTGCTGTTAAGGTGCACCCTCTCACCGAATCCCAACAAGCACCGGCAAGAATGTAAGATTCTGTTATAGTGACTTAGGAAAGGGACATAATGCTCAAAGATGACCCGTGGCCTGAAGAGACAGTGTCTGTGCCGAGCCCAGGCTGGGGATTCCCGTCCCCTTGAAGGCAGGGCAGCCCTGTTTTTACTTAGAGCCTTTCTGCTGCTGAAGGAGCTTGGTGTCTCGATTACTCAGGACATAATGTCCAGTCCTCCATTCAGCCACTAGGTACAGAAGCTTTTTCCCAGCGGGCCCAGGAGTGGGTGGTGCCCTGCCCTGAGACCAGAGGGCAGCTGTGCATCACCGGGCCACGTTCTGGTTGCCAGTAACTGCGCTGTCTGCAGATGAAACTGAGACTCTGCCTACCATGCTCTGGCCCTCCCAGATCCCAGCACTCGAACGTGGGGTTTCAGGCAGGACCCTGGGCATGCACATACACACACCCGGCATAACTTACTTTCTTTTCTTTTATTTTTTTGTTCATTTTAGAGTGGTTTTTTTTTTTTTTTTTTTTGCTATAGGGTATATGTGCTTGCTGTAGAGAAAAAGACAAGAGAGACAAAAAGTGAGAAATCACTCCTCAGAGGGGATGGCCACACCACAGTCTCTTCTCCTCCACTCTCGGGATTGGGCATGCAGGTACATGTGACCAGGGTGAGTTTTTTGTCACTGGATACAGGACTTGAACCACAGTTGACTATGTGGGAGTCTAGTGATGTAACCATTATGCCATCTGCTGGTCCCCCTAGCATAATTTTTAAGCTGCCAGGTCCAGGATTCAAACTGTGGTTGGCCATGTGGGAATCCAGCAGCTTAGCTGACATACCAGCAGCTGGCCCTCAAATTCATCCTTTTTATGAGGAACCCATTCCTGCAGTGCTGGTATTCATCCATTCATTGGGGCAGAGCCTCTTCTTTAAAAAAACAGAACAAAACACGTTCGCTGATTTCTTTTAGTGGTTAAATACAAGAAGCCACTCTTAATACTGCATCAGGGATTAAGTTCCCGACAGTTGGGCTTTGGGGACACACGCGGATCCTAGCAAGGAGTAACCACACACACTCCCACTGGAGCCAACCCTTTGCAGCACCTTGCTGACGAGGCAGCTGCTAGGCTGCACGCCGTCGAAGACAGCAGGTGTGGGAGGGTCACCGGCCCTCGTGCTGTCTTTTTTCCTTCCTTTTAAAAGCTTTTGCCAGAGGGTGTGTGTGCTCACTGGAGACAGAGAAACAGAGAGAAAGAAGGCAAGAAAGCATCCCCCTCCCTCCCCAGGAGGCATGATCATGCCACAATCCCTTTTTCATTTCTCCCTTTTTCTGGATTTTTGGGCATTCAAGTATGCGTGCCTGGCATGTTTCTCAAGTCAGGTCTGGGACTCAAGCCATGAGGTTGGCCATGTGGGATCCAGCCACCTTAACCACAAGGACACGGGCTGGCCCTGTGCTGTTTCTTAAAAGCAGAGGACGGGATTCCCACGTAACAGGTGCTCTCTGTGCCCCGCACGGGAAGACGGGGCATGGAGGCAGAGTGCAGCCCAGCCCCACGCGAGCCGCCAGTGCCCCACCATTTACTGTCCTCCATGCCATCTGTGTGGGAGCCCGGTGCTGCTCTCCTGCTTCTTGGTCCTCATTAGCTGTGGAGGGCTCTCACGCCAGGCAAAATTGCATTATGCTTTGTTTCTTGTTAATCTGTTTTATGCCTATTTAATTCTCTGGCCCAGACGAGGCACTAAGGAGATGGAGGTGGAGTTTTTTCTGCCCCTACGTTAAAAATACAATCCTTCCAGAAGTCAGAGAACACTTCAAAACCTTCTAAGAGATTTTTTTTAAAAAAAGGTTTTGCCGTGAGGTGCGTGAGCTTGCTGGAGAGAGGCAAGGAGAGACAGTGAGAGGGAAAGTGAGAAACCACCCTCCTCTTAGGGGAGAGGGCCACACTGCAGTCCCTTCTCCATTCTCATGGGATTTGGGGCATGCACCTGGTATGATTTTCAAGCTGCCGGGTCCAGGACTTGAACTGCACCAACCATGTGGGAGTCCAGTGCCTTAACCAGGCCCCTCAAAGAGACACTTCAACTGCAGAACTAGGGACCTTGTTTTCTTACAGAGCACCGCATGCCTGTTCTCTCATTTTCCTGCTCCCAGGACTGGTTTCTGGGGTGGGGGAGGCCCAAGCTCCTCAGAAGGATCCCTGAGGATCTCCCAGACCTGAGAGCCCAGCTACGCCAGCTGCAAGCCCTGACCAGGGGCGCCTGTGCTTGGTCCACCTGCCTTTCTGGAAGACGCTTGCACCTAGGAATGTGGAACGTGGGGACTGGAGGGAGTTGCTGCAGGGCAGTGACCCGGGGCCTGAATCCTCAGGGCCAGGGGCTGGGCTGGGTACAGACTGCTGGGATGGGCCCACTGGGCTTGTGGGGTACCAGACAGAGTTGGGGGTGGTGGTGCTGAGGGTGGGTGTAGGACTGAGTTGCCCACAGGGGAGGCTGAGTGCCAGGGGTGGGGAGAGCTGGATGTGGAGCCTGAGAGCAGGCCGAGCACTGGGTGGTGCGTGCTGGGGGAGAGGATTGGGTGCTGAGCCTGAGAGCAGGGCTGGGTGTAGGGTGGTGGGTCTGAGAGCAGAGTGGGGCCGTGGTGGGGGCGGACTCCTGGAATTGGGTGTGTGGTTGCTGTGAGGGGATCCGAGAATCCTGGCCCTAAGGGGCAGGATCTCAGTGGCTGGCTCAGGTGAAGTGCCTTGTTTTTTTCCAAAACTGCTCTGCGTCTCGCCCTGTCACGACTGCCGCAGACTGCTCTGGCCCTGGTGGGGAGCATTTTGTTCAGAGCGGACTCAGTCTCGTCCCTGTGCTTTCTCTGAAGCACTGACTTGGAGCCCACAGCAGTGGATGGTCAGGATGGAGCTGCAGGCTCGAGATCTCTGTGCGGGTGGCTCCTTCAGGTCTGACCCAGGACGGGACACAGGGCCGGCACAGTGAGGCAGCTACTGTGGCGAGTCAGGCTCTGGCCCGCTGGCCGTGTGTGCGAGGAAGCACTTGTCACCATCTTGGAGATGTGCCAGGAGGGGAGTTGTGCCCCTTCTGGAAGGACAGTGTGCTGGGGACAGGCTGGGGATGGTGGCCCAGCTGCCCGACGGCCTCAGAAAGCAGGTGTGTTCTGGGCATCCCACCCAGCAGCCGTACTCACCCTGTTCTGTGGTGGGCAGGGCAGGAGAAAAATGTGAAGCTTTTATCTAAACAAAATATTTCTTTTGCAAAGAGCTTTCTCCACACCGAGGCTTTCCAGCCACGTGAGACACTGACCTCCTGATCCCCCAGATTCAGCATTTGGCTCTTTGCCTTTATTTTTACTAGAAGTATAAAAAGAGTCTGAATCTGAATCAGAATGCGAATACAGCTGGTGCTGCCACACGTTCAGCTCTAACTGCTCGTAAAGGATCAGAAGGCAAATCCAGAGCCAGACCGTGGACACAGGGCAGGGGCACTCTGCAAAGGCTGAATCGCAAGTTCGGGTCATTGTCTTCTGGCCGACTTTTCTTAATGGGGTGTTAGAGGTACAACTGCATGGAACGTGTTTTACGTTGAATTCCTTCATGGACAAAACTTCAGCAATATGCTTTTAGGGAGAATGTAAATTTCAGTAATAACAATAACAACAAAGCTTTTGCAATAAACTCCCCTAAGAAAGAGACATTATCGAAAGGTGATTTTTAGACCCCAAATGTGTGTCTGGCACTGGGTAGATACCGCAGAACCTTCCTGATGAGATCTCAAGGACTTCGGACCTCATGTCCTTTGCAAATAAAAGTATTCAAATAAAATCTATTAAAAGGGCTGCTTTCCCCACTTTGGGGCTATACGTCATGGTAGCGATTAATTGCACCTACCAAAACTTTTACTTCCGTGTTGGAGGAATTAACAAAGAAAACCCAGGCTTAATAAATCAACACCGAAGTTCAGAAGTTCAAAGTAATTTGTCTTGGGAACAAAGTCTTCCCCAGAGCTGAGAGGCATTCAGAGGAACTCTTGGTGTTAATGTGATTATTAAAGATATACCTGTGACCAGATAACTGTTTGGTGATTTTGCAAAATCAATAGGATTTCTTTGCAGTTTTTCTTTTGCTGACTTTTTTTTCCCCGTGGGGTCTGGACTTTGTGGCTTCATTAGACTTTGCAAATGAAGGAAGGCTGGGTTTCCCGAGAGTGCGCGTGTGCAGGAAACAACGGACTAGCAGAGGTTTACAAGAGGGTGTGTGTGTGCTGTGCGTGCCTGTGTGATGGGGCAGGCGCGGGGGAGGGAGACACGAGCTTGTTACAAAGCTGCCACCTAGAGGCGCCTTTCTGCAGTGTATATAACGCGCGTCTGCAGCCAGGCTGCTCACAGTTGCTCCAAAGTGCTCAGCTCTAGCGGAGCGAGCACACAGCTCAGCACAGTGCAGCCCTACTCAGCTCGGTACAGTCCAGCCCCAGCCCAGCCCCAGCCGGCCTGCAGGAGCCCAGCCAGCACAGAGGTAAGGACTGGGGACTCAGGCAGCAGACTTGTTTAGAAAGGGCGGCAGCAGGGCTTCTCTTAGGCTCTGCGGTCTTTTGGAGGTCTTTTAAATTGCTGAGATGAGGCTCCAGAGTGGAAGACTGCAGGTCTGGTTTCTGGCAGCCCCGTCTGCAGGTTGCATGCCTGCCTTGCAAAGTGCTTCTGCTGCTCTGGGAGCTTCCCCTCTCACTGTGGAAAGTGGAGGGCAGTTTTCTTAAATCACTCCAGGAAGGCAGTGTGCGTGTGTTGGCGTTCGGCATCCGCGGTCTGTGCTATGGGATGAAGCGCCAGGAAGCAGGGAACTTTGCGAGAACTGGCCGTTCTGCTCACCCAGAGTTGGCAGAGGGATTTGCTCGGCGTGATTCTTTACCTGTTTTGCTTCTGTTGCATCAGTGGGGAAATAGCATCATTCTAGAAAGGTGAACACTTTACTAAGGGGCTTCCTTAAGCAGAGAACTATGCTGAGAATCCTTGTGAATCCAGAATGTATTTGAATTCTGTGCTTTGGGGGATTACCAGATCCTACAAATCCGGAAGCTGTAAATGTGAATGTTGAACACTGTCCTGTCTTGCTATCGCTTGGCTGCATCCTTGATAATCTGAGTATTTATTGTTCTCTGAGACGGTATTAAGTCCCACCTCAGTTGGAAAAAAATAAAATTCACACACATAAAAATCCAGTATTTTGTAACTGAAATATATTTTTTGTGCATTTTGTTAAATTTTGTTAGCATGCAGAATGAGTCAAGGGTGACTGGGAGTAAGCCCTCTGGAGCAGGGTCAGGGGTGGGTGGCTAGCCAAGACTTGCAACTTCCAGAAAGAATGAGAAGTTGTAAAAGTCAGACTGACTGTCTCTCTCCCTTTCTTTCCCTTTCTCCCTCTTTCGATTCATTTGCTCACAACGGGATTAATTAGTTTGTCCAAAGTGGGCAAGAGCCCACTTAACCGTGAGAAGCCCTTTGAAGGTGTTGGGCGCAGGGGGCATCCCCTGAACCCGGGCTGCAAAGTCGTGATGCAGGAACTTTTTCTAAACGCAGATGCCGTGCTGCCTTTGTGTGCCTTTATTTATTCCAGGAAAATGTGGGGCTCAAATAGGCATGCCTAGAAAATAAAGTAGAGGCTGCTGGCTTCCGGCTCTAACTTTCTGTAGACTCTCAGTGGAGGAACTGCCCGTCTTTCTTTCATCGGAGTATGAGTTTTCCCCAGGTGTTAGAGGCTTTCTCTAGAGCAGAGTTGCACATGGGAGCTCCAGCTGGGAAACAGTTTGCTCTTTTTCCCCAGGCTCTGCCATAAACACAAGGGCTGAGCTTAGAGCCACTACCTCCGGGAGGGGGCGGGGCTGCACGGAATGGGGGTGAAAAAGCAAAGGGAAATTGAGGAAGGGCTCCGTGCTGCCGCTGCCTATCAGATTAGCTTTTTAGGAGGACACGATTGCGTTCGGAGTTTTACAAAAGGCCCAGGAAGTACAGCCGAGGTAGCAAGCTTGTGCTTCACTGGGTCAGGACTTAGGAGGTGAGTTTACCCTGTATAACAGCAAGCCCTCAGAGAGTTGCGAAGGTATTATGATTTCTAATCAGGCCCAGAGCAGGGCAAGTGTAGGCTTTCTGGATGAAAAAGAAAAAGAAAGCCACACACACACACACACACACACACACACACACACACAGACAAAAAGCTCTACTTAATCAGGAACAGTGGCTTTTTGTATGATCATTTTGGGCAGAAAGCTCCTGTTTTCGAGTTCACACGAGGGAAGTTGGTTGAAGTTACTCGGACCTGAGGCTGAGGGGCAGTCTCTCTGTAAACCCTCAGAGTAATCGAGGAGAAAGAGAAAGACCTCAAAGATGTTGGAACTTTAGATTTTTCTCAGTGATTTTGTGGAACGTGAATGGAATTTAGGGCCAGAAGGCATCTGTCCGTTTGAACCAGCCACTGAGGCCCTTAGTTTTAGTCTCAGGAACAAGAACAGCACTAGCATGCCTTCCAGCCGCGTTGCACGTGTGTGGTACAATTTAGAGAAACTAAAAGGAGTGTCCTGCCAAGAGTTTTTAAATCCTGAAAAGAAAAGGTATTGCTCCAGGACACATTTCTGTTAACATAAAAGCAAGGGAGCAAGGGGAAAAGATCAGGACGGGGTGAGGGTGTGTCTGACGTTCCACGCCGGCTTTCTGCAGCAGTACTGGAGGCGTCCTTTCGCGGAGGCTGCTCAAGAGCTGGGGTAACGTGTACTGGAGGCGTCCTTTCGCGGAGGCTGCTCGAGAGCTGGGGTAAGGAGGTTGCTGTGCCCAGGTATTGCATACTTTTACGGGGGCAGCTTTGCAGAGCCATGGGTAGGTTTGGGAGCAGACGGTTTTGTTCTGGTGCTCGAGGGTAGGAGGGGGTGAGACTATCTCGGGTGGCCTAGACCACTGTTGGCTGAGGGACAAGATAAAGGGGCCGTGGACAGCCTGGGGGCCTTCACATTTGGAAGCTGGGCCACCCTGATAGCTGGCCTCCTGTGCCCTCTCTACTGTAACAGCCACTTTGTGACGTCTTCCCTTGCTTTAGATGAAGAGCCTAAGGTTGGGCTCCCTTCTCCTGGGACCCCCACTGTGGCTGCGAGCGGTTGGTGAGGAGCTCTCCTGGCCTGGCCGGCTCCCCGCTGCCCCACCCGGATCCTGAGCTGAGTGGGAATGAGGGCTCTGATTACACTCGGCCAAGCAGACGGCGGCCTTTGTGCTGCAGAGACCTCTGGGTCTGCCCTGGGTGCAGCTTCCCTTTCCAGTCAGGTCAGGCGGCCGAGCACAATAGGCCAGCTCCGGTTTCTGGACGTGGGATTTGTTTTGTGCCCTAAATACTTAAAGTGGACAGCACTGTCCCACGTGTAAACGAGAGAGTTACGGACTCTGGGAATAGGTGGCCTTGATCCGAGTCAGGGTATGAGTTTCTCTCTGTTTCTGTTTGAATTCTCAATCCATAGCAGTTCTTCACTTGCACAGAAATGAGGTCACGGGGGTCACAGCGTGTGAACATGTGGTGGGGACTGCGTTGCTTTCTGTTTGCCAGCACTGGGTCCAGGGAGGAGCTGACAGCACCCCTTCCTGCTGTTGGTCCCAGCAGATGGCCACAGAGAGCAGCCTGGGCTGCACTTTCCTGGCCTTCTCTCCCGGGTTGGTTGGCTAGTTTTCCTGTAGACATAATGCAGGTTTGGTTAGAAAAATAAGAAGGCTCTCAGCGATGCTTCTTCAGAAGAAACGTGGACTCTGCCCATCCGAGCCGCACTGGGGCACGGCGTAGTCTGGGCCAGGCGGGGCAGAGCGTGAGTTTCAGAAGCATGACCGTCACTGTGAGTCTCTGCAGGAGCTGGAGGCTGAAGAAGACTCTGTTGGAACGTGGTCTCTTCAGCATTGGGGCCCCGTTTCCAGCTACGAACAGTGAGAGTGGCTGGCCAGGGCATCTGCTCTTGTCTAGGGACAGCATTGAGTTCTTCCATGAAATGTCATCTGAGGATGCAGTCACAGATGCAGAGAGCCCCAGAGGAGGCCCCCTGGAGGCAGCGTTCCAAGGACCCAGTGGGCCCCTGGTTTCCAAGCCCAGGGCCCCAGTCCTGGTGCATAGTATCTTAGCGGGCTACCCTGAGGTAGCCATGCCTTCCTCGCCTTCCTCCTCCAGATGTCTGCTGCAGCCCGGTCCTGAGGACGCGGTGCCCCACTGCAGCTTCCTATGCTGTCACTCATTCTCGAGGCATCTTCTGCCCCGAAGCACGGCCTTGCTCAGGACAAGCCCAGGCCTGACTTCGCCTCCCACCCTCAGGGTCTGGCCTCCATCTCTCCTTTATGGGGAGTCTTGGCCTCTGCTGGACTTGGCAGCCCACCTTCACGGCAGTGTCCTGGAACACCCTGCAGCACCCCATCCTTCTCCTTGAAGGACTCTCATAAGCCCTGGAATGGGAACCTCTCCATCTTTCTGTTTAAGGCGCTCCCCCTACCTCACTCAGTCTCAGAGGGTGATGGGCCTTCGTGCCCTCCTGACCTCAATTTGACAGGGAGATCTTGGGGGTGGGGTGCTGCAAAAGTTTCTGGTTTGTTGTGCCCACGTCTCCGCAGTGCTTCCTGGAAGAAGAAGTCACCACAGACATCAGCCCGGGTGCTGGCTTCAGATTACTGGTCTCAGCGGAGCTCAGCCAACTTAGTTTGCGGGACTAGCGCTTCACACCAGGTGACTGCTCACTGTGGTTCTCCGACAGTGACAAAGGCCCGGTGGGGTTGCCAGACAAGTCAGGATGAGGTGGAGAGGGACAGAAGTACAGCTGGAGATTCCAGAGCGAGGTGCTCGCCTGGCATGGGTGAGGGGACCCCTGTGCCGAAGGCAGCCGGGCCCACACTTGCCACTTTGACCGCAGGCCCGGCTGTACCCGTGGAGGCTCTGAACTTGCCGACTTCTAATTTGGCTTCCCACCCACTCTCTGGGAAGCATCAACTGAAGGCCTCGGGCTGCCTGCTGCCTGCTACAGCTCCAACGTTGCAAGGATGCTGGGTGATGAGTAACCCTCAGGAACGCGAGGCATGTTTCCCAGAGAGGGAGATGAGGACAGCGAGTAGCTCCTGCCCTGCGGGGTCTGAGTGCTGGACGGTCACCTGTGCAGACTGCGACCTGGTGGGAAGGGCCTGCCACACACTGGCCACTGGAAGAGTCCCCTCCTGTCACAGCAGACATTATGCTGTCTGGGTGCTGGGGTGGGACAAGGTGGCTGAAACAGTGGCCCCCACGAAGAGGATGCATCTCCTGGACAGAAGTGTGTGAACGTGCAGGCGTGGAGGTGGGACTCTTTAATTCCGAACCCCCACTTCCATGCACATGCCTCACACTTGGGCTTCTGACATGGGTCTTCTTCCCCAGCCTGCCCTGGCACGAGCGGGGCCCCAGGGAGGCAGGCAGTGGGCAGGGCCGACCAACACCCCGCATCGTCTCACGCTCTGGCCCGAAGCCGACGGGAGGGACTCACTGCTTGATTGCGGCAGAGACCAACTGGTCTCAGCGGGGAAGCCTCCTTCAGGTCTGGCGCCTGCCAGCCATGCCCACCTCCTGGCACACACAGACCCACCACAGTGGCCCTGCCACCTTCAGCGTGCGTGTGGGTCTGGGCCAGCCCGTCCAGGTGCGAGTGGAATGCAGTCTGTTCTGTGTCCTGAGTGATGAGGTCATCCTGGTTCAAGCTGGAGGGGACCTGAATTCCTGTACAGGGTATTTTAGGAGTTTCATGAAAGCCCATCCCTTTTCCCTCCTGCCCCCACCCTCAGATTTTGCCAGGAGCTGTCGCTGGGCCTTGGGTGGACTTTGACAGTCTGCCTGGTCACGCAGGCTTCGTTCCTAGCAGGGCCCAGTGAGGTCTGTGCAGGTGGGCAGGAAGGCTTTCGCTGCAGTGGTGGACACACCGCGGGTGCGGGCGGTGTGGGCGGGAAGGCTTTTGCTGCAGTGGTGGACACACCACGGGTGTGGGTGGTGTGGGCGGGAAGGCTTTCGCTGCAGTGGTGGACATACCACGGATGCGGGCAGTGTGGGTGGGAAGACTTTTGCCGCAGTGGTGGACGCACTGCGGGTGTGGGCGGTGTGGGCGGGAAGGCTTTTGCCGCAGTAGTGGACTCACCGCGGGTGTGGACAGGAAGGCTTTCGCCGCAGTGGTGGACGCACCGCGGGTGTGGGCAGGAAGGCTTTCGCCGCAGTGGTGGACGCACTGCGGGTGTGGGCGGTGACGGGCCCAGCTCCTGCCACCCTGGGCGCCCTGCCCTGAGTCTCCAGTGGCCGGAGCAGGTCCGCAGGGCCCCAGCTTCGACGTGGCATTTCATGTGGTAGCTTCCTGTTTTGAATAAGGAGTTGTCTTGGTGACGCGATGGGCCTGATCCGTAACAACATCGACGTGAGGAAGGCCCGCAGTGTTCGCGTGTTCGCCCTTTGCTCTCCGGCCCACGTTCGTTCTCACTGAGCGGAGATTTGATGCTGCACTGCCCCTTCACTGCCCTTGCTTCTGCTTCCCCTCCTGCACTGAAAGCTGCGGCCTCCTGTGCTGGGAGCGGGGAGGCCGTTCGTCCCCGGGGGCTGTGGTCCAGGCGCAGGCTCTGACTTGTCTCCGGTGAGTCCAGGCCTGTGCTGCCCTGCTCCGTGGGTGGTCGCTGGTTTATGAACAGTGATAGGCAACCAACGAGCAGTGATTGAGGAGGGTCAGTAGGACTCCCAAGGCGCCCCCCCAGCCCCTGCTCCTCCTCCAGCTCCTGCTGGAGTCCAGAGTGTCCCGGAGAGGGGAGGCCGTCTGTCTGGGGGATGCGTGCTAATTTTGGAAACCCTGTTTTTGACTCAGAGGGCCAGTGGTCACTGAACCAGATTTTCCTTGCCCCGAGAGCAGGCACAGGAGCCAAAGGGTCAGAGGTCCCCTAGCCCTTTCTACCCCCACTCCACCACTCTGGGCTCTGAGAATTCCACAGGCTAGCAGCCACAAAGGTATGTGTGTCAGTCTGTGTGGACAAAGTGGAGGGGCCGAGGAGGACGTCTCAGGGACGCGAGCGGTGGTGCCTAGCCACGTCGTGATCCTGCCCCTGCATGGTCGTCTGCCCGGACGGAACTAGGGCCTGGCTGGGGGACTGTCTCCATGGGGTGGAGAGAGATGGGGCGGGGCCTGGATCCAAGCTCCAGCTAACAAACGGTCACTCTCTTTTATGGGCCTGGGGACGGTTCAGACCCCAGGACCTGTGGCCGTCTCTGCCGAGGCGAGGGCTGTGGGGATGGGATGGAGCAGAGCTGCTGTCTGGGTCCTGCTAGCGTCCCCACTGCTGCCGGCCATGGGGCTGGGCTCTCAGCACCTCTGCTCTCCAGGACTCGTGGGCTGACTCTGCAAAGACTCGTGGGGTGACTCTGCAAACGTGTTTCTTCGCCGCGAAATTGGGGAAAAAGAAAGCAAGAGAAAGCAAAGGTCAGCTGCACTGGAGCCACACAGGCAAACAGAGCCAGCACCCTTGCCTTTGCCTCCTGGGACCCCGCCACAGGTCCAGCCCAGGCTGCGCTGCCGAGGGAGGTGGCAGTCGTAGCTTCCAGCATGGCCTGGGCTGGCTGGCTGCTGGAGGGCAGCGAGCAGGTCCACAGGGCCCCAGCTTCGACAAGGGTCCTCAGCAGCCCTTCTGGGACTATGTCCTTTTGTGGTCCTTAGAGCTGCGACCTGGACATGGCATGCCAGTCCCCTAATCGGGTTTATTCTTGCTGCTTGCTTGTGCTGTTCTGTCCTGTACAAGTTGGGGGTCACAGGGTTTGGGGTGGTCCTTACGATGGCCAGGCTTGCTGCCTGGCTGCCGGCTCCCACAGAAGAGGCTTTCACAGAGGGGACACGGCTGTCTGGGAGGCCCAGATTTCTTCCAGCAGAGGACACTGACGCCTGGTTAGGTCACTGGGAGGGGAACCCGTGGCCGTGTCTGTCCCATGGAGGGGGCTGCCCAGGGGCCACCGATGGTCCGTTAACTGGGATTTAGGATCTAGGCACCTGCTGTAAGTTTCAGGGCTGCAGAGACCATCCTGAGAGGCAGCAGGATTTTTTTCAGGGGTTCATTTCATGTCCTGGACGACAAACCACTCAAATGACCTGGTCTGTGAGCCCCTTCCTTGGGGCTGTCTACTGCTTAGCCAGTGAGAGCCCGTCTCCCACGCAGGAAAGAATGAAGAGAGGTGATGCTTTTTGCTGAAGGAGAAAAACGGTGCCTCCGGTTGAGCCCCGTGTTCTCGTCCCAGCTGGGATGGGGCTGGAGCTGGGAGGTTTCCTGGAGCAGGTGCCGGTGCTCTAGATTCTGAACGAGGCCTTCATTCTTCAAGTAGCCGAGACAGGTGCTGCTGTCCTGGGGGAGCAGGCAGTTTAACTAGCCCCACATTAAACTAGCTAGTAGAGAGCCAGAGTTCCAGCTCGGGGTGTCTGCCCCTGGGCCTGGTGCTCTCCAAGCTGGCCCTTCTTGTGCCATTAGCACGGCCACATGGACTCTGGCCCACCGACCTGCCCCAGATCCTCCAGGAAGTTCTCGTTTGTAACCAGCCTGGGGTCCACTTTAGATGCCCTTGGCAAATCGGCCAGGCCCTGGGCCAGCCCTTCCCCGAAGGGAGGGAAGGTGCGCGCCTCAGTGGGCTCACTACCACAGCACGGTCCTGGGTGACTTTTTTTTCATTTTATGCCTTACCCCCAAATCATGCAATGGGGTCCAGGCGGGGTTAACTGCTGACCCAGGGTGTGGCCTGGGGGGGAGGGGTGGGTTTCAGGACCCTTAAGGGGACTGATAGCTGCAGAGGCCAGCCCAGGCAGACCTGGCTGGGATATCTGCAAGGAAGTGGTTCTTAGTGACGGTGGGACCTCGAGACTGGATTCTCGCTGGATGCGAAAGGGTGCCAGCCATTGTGTGGCTGCGTCAGGTCAGCTGGGGAAACAGTGGGGAAGGTCGTCAGCGCTCCAGAAATGCAGCAGGTGGGGGTCGTTACGCTCATGTTTTGGCACCAGTTGTTCTTGAAGCAGTTGAACAAATAAAGGGATGGGCAACTAGGCTTTGGCCCAGAGTCGAGACAGCTGGTGGGTTGCCCTGAGTTGAAGATCACAGGGCAAAGCTGGAGCCCACAGGTTTGGGCGGCGGTCAGGCTATGAGGCATCCCACGTGCCACCCCCATTGCATTTGGTGTGGGCTTTCTGAATGCAGACTGCGAGGCCAGGACCCAGGTTTGCAGATTTTACTGCAAGGGGAAAAGTGCTGAGTCACATTTGAAATGCAAATTTGGAAGAGGACTTGAAATGCTTTCATTAAGATACCAAAGCAGGACTCTTGTAATACAACAGTGCCAGGAAGGATCAACCCTGTCGTTCTTGGGAGACGTCAATAAAATGGCCCCACTGTCTCCTGAGACGAGCAGGCATCGGGCCAGGCTCAGCTGCCTGACGTTTCTCTGGCCCCTGTGCTGTGTTGATTTCACACCCCAGGCTCAACCAGGCTGACACGTCTGGAGAACACAGCCATGAAAAGGCAGAGAAGCAAGCAGTGATACTCGTTGAGCACCACGTGGCTTTAGATGCTGGGTGTGCTGTTTGGTGGAGTTCTGCTGTGGCTCTCGTCTTCCGTCTCTGCAAGGAAGCTACAGAGCTAAAGCGAAACAGCTGAGCCTATCAGGGCGCAGAAAGCGTTTTGGGTGAAATTGAGTTTCCCTTTACCCTGATGAAGTGATTTTTCTCTTCTTCCTTGCTTGGTTTTCCTCCAGGTTGTTGAATTGCTCTCCTCAAAACCATGGATTTGCATCTCTTCGACTACTCGGAACCAGGGAACTTCTCGGACATCACCTGGCCTTGCAACAGCAGCGACTGCATCGCCGTGGACACGGTGCTGTGCCCCGGCATGCCCAACAAGAGCGCCCTGCTCTACACGCTCTCCTTTGTCTACATTTTCATCTTCGTGGTCGGCATGATCGCCAACTCTGTGGTGGTCTGGGTGAACATCCAGGCTAAGACCACAGGCTACGACACGCACTGCTACATCCTGAACCTGGCCATCGCGGACCTGTGGGTGGTGCTCACCATCCCCGTCTGGGTGGTCAGCCTGGTGCAGCATAACCAGTGGCCCATGGGCGAGCTCACGTGCAAAGTCACGCACCTCATCTTCTCCATCAACCTCTTTGGCAGCATCTTCTTCCTCACCTGCATGAGCGTGGACCGCTACCTGTCCGTCACCTACTTCAGCAGCACCTCGGGCAGTAGGAGGAAGACCGTGCGCCGTGCCGTCTGCGTCCTGGTGTGGCTGCTGGCCTTTTGCGTGTCCCTGCCCGACACCTACTACCTGAAGACGGTCACGTCAGCCTCCAACAACGAGACCTACTGCCGCTCCTTCTACCCCGAGCACAGCATTAAGGAGTGGCTGATTGGCATGGAGCTGGTCTCCGTCATCCTGGGCTTCGCCGTCCCCTTCTCCATCATCGCCGTCTTCTACTTTCTGCTCGCCAGAGCCATCTCGGCGTCCGGCGACCAAGAGAAGCACAGCAGTCGGAAGATCATCTTCTCCTACGTGGTGGTCTTCCTGGTCTGCTGGCTGCCCTACCACGCTGTGGTGCTCCTGGACATCTTCTCCATCCTGCACTACCTCCCCTTCACCTGCCAGCTGGAGAACGCCCTCTTCACGGCCCTGCACGTCACGCAGTGCCTGTCCCTGGTGCACTGCTGCGTCAACCCCGTGCTCTACAGCTTCATCAACCGCAACTACCGCTACGAGCTCATGAAGGCCTTCATCTTTAAGTACTCGGCCAAGACGGGGCTCACCAAGCTCATCGACGCCTCCAGAGTGTCTGAAATGGAGTACTCGGCTCTGGAGCAGCATGCCAAGTGAGCCGCCTGCGGGGGCTCTGGGACGTGGGCGCTTGTTTGAAGCAAGCCTCTGGCTGGTGGCTTTCCAGAGCAGAGTGAAGTAGCTCCAGTCTTGTTGCTGGAGTAGCGTGGAGAAGGGAGTGGGGTCATTGCACGTTCTCTCTCCTCTCTCCCCCTCCCCTCTCTCTTTCCTCCTCTCCCCCTCTACCCTCTCTCTCTCCCTCTCTTCCCCTCTCCCCCTCTCTCCCTCTGTTTCCTCTCTCTCCCTCTCCCCCATCTCTCTCTGTCTCCCCCCCTTCCCCCCTCTGATGCACTGCTGCTTGGCTGTGTGCTCTGGCAGTTTGGCAATGGGCAGTTGTCGTGCAGCCAGTGCTGTGTGTCAGAGCCAGCTTCAGGACAGGCTCTCCCAGGCTTCTGTAAAATAGAGGACTTTCTGTATTGCCTGACTCATTTTTTATATGGTGACTTGTATTTAAATGTTGAGACTTTATTTTCTCACTTTTGGTGTACCTTATAAATGTATTTGAAAGGTAAATATATTTTAAATATCGTACGGGAGGTATCATGCTGACATATATTGAGTGTTGTAGTTTTAAGTTTAGTTTGACTTCAGTTTTGACTAAGGGTGACGCCGTTAGCTGTTTTGAAATGTTATATATATAAATCTATATAAATCTATAAATATATGCCAGCCTCGCTGACATGTTTTATTTACCATAGTTTTATACCTGGGTGGTGTTTACACCAGCGCAGGCCACGGGACGAACACTGCTCTGTAGCACAGTTTGTGACATTGACAGGATTGTGAAGTCACATTTGAACATAAACAAAACTGTTCTAGGTTGCAAATCTGTGCACAAAATGGACAGAGAAGTCTTTCAATTTGTAAGTTATTTTTTTTAATAAAGATTTTTGTTTCCTAAAAATGCACCTGGGCCTCAGTCTTACCTGTTTGCCATGCAGGCAGTGTGTGTGGTGACAGTGCACAGACTTGCGGCTTGAAAAGACACACTGGCAAGAGTGCATTTGTGCCCAAAATCCCAGAAGGAGGGAGACATGGAGGAAAAGGGGTGGTGGTGTAACCACTCATGGGGGTACTTTATTGCTTTCTCTCTGTCTCTGCTTCTCTGTCTCTGATGAACACTTACACCCTCTGATAAATGCACACATACATGCAAGAATACACCAGTCAGTAAGTACTCTCAGTTCTTGCAATGAGTGAATTTTCTTCCCATGTATCACCAAGTAAACCAACATGGTCACTAGTCGTTTGAAAGCACAGAGTGTTTGGTCCCTGCTGTGTCCTCATCAGCTCTGCATGGAGCTGCAGGAACTGTGGGGACTTCGGCAGAACAGGCTGGGCACCTGGGCAGGGGTCAGGGAAGGTTGTGCTCCTGTGCAGCTCTTACCTCCCCTGAGCTCTCTCCTGATGGGCTGTCTGCCAGCCGCTCAGAGCCCTGTTTGCAACCCAAGGCCTACAGGACTCAGCCTGATGGCCTGGGGGCTGGTCCCGTGTAGGAAATCCCCAAGCCATGTCAGCTCTCCCCCCACACAGAGTGACAGCCCAGCAGTCCCAGGGCCCACAGATCAAGCCTGCACAGGAGGGCTGCTTTTTGCAGAGCTTCATGGCCTAGAGTTCAGACGCCAGGGTTATAAGATACTTTAAGGACCTACTTGATACATGTATGTGTCTAGGTGCATGTACCCTGGCCTGGTCCTGGTAGGGTTCTGGTCAGATAATAATGTGGACGGCACGATAATAACATGGACAGTGCAATTACATGGATGTGCGATAACGTGGACAGTGTGATAATGTGGACGATGTGATACCGTGGATGGCATGATAACGTGGACAGTATGATAATGTGGATGGTGCGATAACGTCGATTGTGTGATATAACGTGAATGGTGTGATAATGTGGACGGTGTGACAATGTGAATGGTGCAATAACATGAATGGCACCATAATAACGTGGCCGGTGTGATAACGTGGATGGCATGATAACGTGGGCGGTATGATAATGTAGATGGCATGATAATTGGGTGGTGTGATAATAACATGGATGGCGTGATAATTTGGATGGTGTGATAACATGGATGGCACGATAATGTGGATGGCATGATGATAATGTGGATGGTGTGATAACATGGATGGCGTGATGCTAACGTGGACGGTGTGACGATAATGTGGATGGCATGATAACGTGGATGGTGTGATAATGTGGACAGCATGATAATGTGGATGGTGCGATAATAATGTGGACAGCGTGATGATAATGTGGACGGCATGATGATAACGTGGATGGTGTGATAACGTGGACGGTGTGATGATAACGTGGATGGTGTGATAACATGGATGGTGTGATGATAACGCCCTCTGTTTCCTCTCTCTCCCTCTCCCCCATCTCTCTCTGTCTCCCCCCCTTCCCCCCTCTGATGCACTGCTGCTTGGCTGTGTGCTCTGGCAGTTTGGCAATGGGCAGTTGTCGTGCAGCCAGTGCTGTGTGTCAGAGCCAGCTTCAGGACAGGCTCTCCCAGGCTTCTGTAAAATAGAGGACTTTCTGTATTGCCTGACTCATTTTTTATATGGTGACTTGTATTTAAATGTTGAGACTTTATTTTCTCACTTTTGGTGTACCTTATAAATGTATTTGAAAGGTAAATATATTTTAAATATCGTACGGGAGGTATCATGCTGACATATATTGAGTGTTGTAGTTTTAAGTTTAGTTTGACTTCAGTTTTGACTAAGGGTGACGCCGTTAGCTGTTTTGAAATGTTATATATATAAATCTATATAAATCTATAAATATATGCCAGCCTCGCTGACATGTTTTATTTACCATAGTTTTATACCTGGGTGGTGTTTACACCAGCGCAGGCCACGGGACGAACACTGCTCTGTAGCACAGTTTGTGACATTGACAGGATTGTGAAGTCACATTTGAACATAAACAAAACTGTTCTAGGTTGCAAATCTGTGCACAAAATGGACAGAGAAGTCTTTCAATTTGTAAGTTATTTTTTTTAATAAAGATTTTTGTTTCCTAAAAATGCACCTGGGCCTCAGTCTTACCTGTTTGCCATGCAGGCAGTGTGTGTGGTGACAGTGCACAGACTTGCGGCTTGAAAAGACACACTGGCAAGAGTGCATTTGTGCCCAAAATCCCAGAAGGAGGGAGACATGGAGGAAAAGGGGTGGTGGTGTAACCACTCATGGGGGTACTTTATTGCTTTCTCTCTGTCTCTGCTTCTCTGTCTCTGATGAACACTTACACCCTCTGATAAATGCACACATACATGCAAGAATACACCAGTCAGTAAGTACTCTCAGTTCTTGCAATGAGTGAATTTTCTTCCCATGTATCACCAAGTAAACCAACATGGTCACTAGTCGTTTGAAAGCACAGAGTGTTTGGTCCCTGCTGTGTCCTCATCAGCTCTGCATGGAGCTGCAGGAACTGTGGGGACTTCGGCAGAACAGGCTGGGCACCTGGGCAGGGGTCAGGGAAGGTTGTGCTCCTGTGCAGCTCTTACCTCCCCTGAGCTCTCTCCTGATGGGCTGTCTGCCAGCCGCTCAGAGCCCTGTTTGCAACCCAAGGCCTACAGGACTCAGCCTGATGGCCTGGGGGCTGGTCCCGTGTAGGAAATCCCCAAGCCATGTCAGCTCTCCCCCCACACAGAGTGACAGCCCAGCAGTCCCAGGGCCCACAGATCAAGCCTGCACAGGAGGGCTGCTTTTTGCAGAGCTTCATGGCCTAGAGTTCAGACGCCAGGGTTATAAGATACTTTAAGGACCTACTTGATACATGTATGTGTCTAGGTGCATGTACCCTGGCCTGGTCCTGGTAGGGTTCTGGTCAGATAATAATGTGGACGGCACGATAATAACATGGACAGTGCAATTACATGGATGTGCGATAACGTGGACAGTGTGATAATGTGGACGATGTGATACCGTGGATGGCATGATAACGTGGACAGTATGATAATGTGGATGGGGCGATAACGTCGATTGTGTGGTATTATATAACGTGAATGGTGTGATAATGTGGACGGTGTGACAATGTGAATGGTGCAATAACATGAATGGCACCATAATAACGTGGCCGGTGTGATAACGTGGATGGCATGATAACGTGGGCGGTATGATAATGTAGATGGCATGATAATTGGGTGGTGTGATAATAACATGGATGGCGTGATAATTTGGATGGTGTGATAACATGGATGGCACGATAATGTGGATGGCATGATGATAATGTGGATGGTGTGATAACATGGATGGCGTGATGCTAACGTGGACGGTGTGACGATAATGTGGATGGCATGATAACGTGGATGGTGTGATAATGTGGACAGCATGATAATGTGGATGGTGCGATAATAATGTGGACAGCGTGATGATAATGTGGACGGCATGATGATAACGTGGATGGTGTGATAACGTGGACGGTGTGATGATAACGTGGATGGTGTGATAACGTGGACGGTGTGATGATAACGTGGATGGTGTGATAACATGGATGGTGTGATGATAATGTGGATGGTGTGATGATAACATGGATGGTGTGATAACATGGACGGTGTGATGATAATGTGGATGGCGTGATGCTAACATGGATGGCATGATGATGATGTGGATGGTGTGATAACGTGGACAGTGATGATAACGTGGATGGTGTGATAATGTGGACGGTGTGGATGGTGTGATAACGTGGACGGTGTGATGATAACGTGGATGGTGTGATAACGTGGACGGTGTGATGATAACGTGGATGGTGTGATAACGTGGACGGTGTGATGATAACGTGGATGGTGTGATAACGTGGACGGTGTGATGATAACGTGGATGGTGTGATAACGTGGACGGTGTGATGATAACGTGGATGGTGTGATAACGTGGACGGTGTGATGATAACGTGGATGGTGTGATAACGTGGACGGTGTGATGATAACGTGGATGGTGTGATGATAATGTGGATGGTGTGATAACATGGACAGTGTGATGATAACAATGGTGTGATAACATGGACGGCATGATAATGTGGATGGTGTGATAACATGGACGGTGTGATGATAACGTGGATGGTGTGATGATAATGTGGATGGTGTGATAACATGGACAGTGTGATGATAACAATGGTGTGATAACATGGACGGCATGATAATGTGGATGGTGTGATAACATGGACGGTGTGATGATAACGTGGATGGTGTGATGATAATGTG